AGAGAGGAATATTATTACGTAACACTACTATAATTATAAATAATATAGAAACATACATGGGTAACCAATAAAATTCTAAGTAAGAAAACCACTATAGCCGGAATATATTACCAATGACGATACATTCCTCTTATTCAGTGTCAGTTCTTAATTCGGAAAAAAATTTACTTGCTTCAAGTGATCTATAACAATTTTCAAGTAAAATTAGCTAATCACACTACACTGTAAATGATTAATTGAATTCAATTACAACATTAATTTATTTACACATTAATTAATCTGTTAAAATATAATTAATAGACTATGCAGCAAGCTATGTTGAAAGAAGATGAATAAAGAGTACTAGGATTAACACATAAGCCAGGATTAACACATTAACACTGCTGATCCGTTACTAATGTCCCCTTATCCTAACCAGCCAGAGAACGCAAAACTGAGAACGGGAGAGTATGTCAATTTCACGAGCCGCTACCCTTTTCTAGTACGATAATTTTTGGCCTTAGGTAGAGTATACGTCAAAATGCGACGTTCCGTCATAAGGACGAGTTGCAGCATCAATCCCAGGCCTACCTGGCCGGGGCTTATCATGATCCTTATCATGACAGGCTGACTGGGGCATGATCCATATCTCTGATATCATTGCCACTCAAATGCTGCTACACATACACTCTCTCTCTCTTCCTCTCTCTCCTCTCTCTCTCTCTCTCTCTCTCTCTCTCTCTCTCTCTCTCTCTCTCTCTCTCTCTCTCTCTCTCTCTCTCTCTCTCTCTCTCTCAGACTAATTAAATTATGATGCGATTCAGAGAAATTTGAATGGTCTGTGAGCCGTCTTTTTTTAATTATAAACTAACAAAGAGAATACCTAATGATTGGATATAAATACCCTACAACATCCTTTCACATATGTAACATGAGTGGAGAAATGTACACATGTGGTGCGAGTTGGTTGGTAGTGCAGGTGTGTGGCTCGCAGGAACACTGAAACGAGCACATAAGAGGCTTTTCACCAGAATGATGCCAGTAACACAGATGTTACAATGTTAATTTATATATATAAACCATATGTGAACAATATTAACTAGTTCTATCCATATGAAAATACATTTGTATATATACATCTACTTCTCTCGTATCAGAAGTTGCATGTAATTCATATTTTAAGAATTGTGAGTGGTTATTATAGAATATGTAAATATTATGAATTGATAATCTGGAGCTATAAGTCCATTCAGGGAGACACTCAAATGGTTCAGTTCGACGGGATCGAAAAATATATTTACTTGCAAGTCATTCAAAATCGCCCGTTTTGAGTACATCACTCAAGGCTCATTTAATGTTACGTCTTCAAGCTTAATTCACAATATGCATTATTGATTTTGTCTAAATTTATCAGAATTTCAGTCTTATAGCTCATTTTGTCCGCGGAGACCATTATTTTTAATATTATTTATTTATCTCTCTTTCTCTCACTCCTCTGTCTCTCTGTCTCCGTCTCTCTCTCTCTCTCTCTCTCTCTCTCTCTCTCTCTCTCTCTCTCTCTCTCTCTCTCCTTTTCTCCCCGCCCCCACCACGTCTATCCTGTCCCTCTCTCCCCCACCCCTCTCTCTCTCTCTCTCTCTCTCTCCTCTCTCCTCTCTCTCTCTCTCTCTCTCTCTCTCTCTCTCTCTCCTCTCTCTCTCTCTCTCTCTCTCTCTCTCTTTGTTTCTTTATTTCTCCCTCTCTCTTTCTCTCCCTGCCATACCTGTACACCTCTACTACCATTCTGTAAAAGACACATGAAACCCCTTTCTTGCTCGTTCACTTAATCAACACAAAACCACCTTCAGCTTCCATGTAGTGATTCGTGTAGCCACCGGATCTTCCACTATGTCCCTGCTGCCTCCGGTGTTCCATCCCCATTGCAAATGAACTTCTTCCCCTTCTCAGAGCTGATCTCTGATACTCTATAACACCAATAACTCCCCAACAATATTCTAGACTATATTGCATGGACCCTCTCTCTCTCTCTCTCTCTCTCTCTCTCTCTCTCTCTCTCTCTCTCTCTCTCTCTCTCTCTCTCTCTCTCTCTCTCTCTCTCTCTCTCTCTCTCTCTCTCTCTCCTCTCTCTCTCTCTCGCTCTCTCTCTCTCTCTCTCTCTCTTCTCTCTCGCTTCTCCCAAACATCTCTCCTCTCTCTCTCTCCTCTCTCTCTCTCTCTCTCTCTCTCTCTCTCTCTCTCTCTCTCTCTCTCTCTCTCTCTCTCCTCTCTCATCCTTCTCTCCTCTCGTCTCTCTCTCTCTCTTCTCACTCTGCTCTCTCCTCTCATTCTCTCTCTCCCAAAATCATTGTATACATGCGGGCGCTTCCGGATTTGGGGAAAATAAGTAGAAAATAAACACAAAAAACAAGTGGGTTAAAGAACAGTTATTAGAAAGAAATTAGGTATAACATAACATGGAAATTTGTGAACGAGAACACGTATAATTAACAGGGATTTAGGAGTTATTTTGAAAGGATAGATAAGGTTGGTCATAACACAGGAGGTGGGTCAAGAAGTGGCATGTAATGTGTAAGTGGCACGTAATGCATAAGTGGCATGTAATGCCTAAGTGGAATGTAAAGCCTAAGTTAGAGTCTAGGGCGGTTGTAATTTCGTGTTCGCTCGCGCCCTGGGGTTCATGGGACTGAGTTTCGTGTCCAAGACGAAGGATATTCGTTAGGTTTTATCTGACTGTTGTTGTATTCTATTGACGACGGACCGAGAGATAAAATACGTTGACTGAAAGAATTATTATTATTTGTATTATTCAGTGCAGGAAAAGTGCAGCAAGATAGATCCAGCTGTTGTTGGTGTTGTTGTTAAAGATTTGCTACCTGGAACAAACAGCTCCAAGCAGCACGGGCTATGGTGAGCCCGTAGTCGATATCAGTCGATTATCGTAGTCGATTGTAGTGGTATCATGGAAGATCCAGCTGTGTGAGAATGGTAGGATAAGGAAGGATGTGGATAAGAAAGTTTACTGTGGAAAAGGTCAAGCTATTTTCTGTGCTTCGAGAGGAAGATCTAAATAGAGATTCAATGGGTAGAGCTACGAAACGTCTCAACAATAACTTTTGCTAGTTGTGGCAAACATTGTGTTTAGAAATGGGAATAAATTCTTTGTTTGCCTCTCAGTTACATTTAAAGTCTCTATTAAATAGATACAGAGCATTAATGAGAAGTATTATGGACAAGAATTATATTAATGGATAGAAATAGACATTAATATAGAGATGTATATTCCTATTTTTATATATAAAATATTTGATCAATCTCGTTCGTGGAAACAGCTTCTCATTTATATGAAGAATTACATACAAAAAATTCCCCAAAAATATATTAAACAAAAAATTTAAATTTTTTGTTTAATATAACAACATACAAAAATTATATTAAAATAATATAATTAGAATTAAGTGCTTTCCACATACGACAGTTCTATACTAAATTAATATTTTGTATTAAACCACCTCAGAGAATTTCGAAAAATATATCTGAAGTAGATTTTACTCTGGTGTCCGTGACTTGTTAGGCTCTGGAGTAATTAAGGGGGATTTAATGTTTTATGTGACGAAACACGAATGTTTCTGGTTGATGGGGGAGACTGGCTCTGTGTTCTCTTTGTCTCTAATTCTCTCTCTTTATCTCTAATTCTCACTTTGTCTCTAATTCTCTTTTTGTTTCTAATTTTCTCTCTGTCTCTAATTCTCTCACTTTGTCTCTAATTCTCTCTCTTTGCCTCTTTCTCTCCTTGTCTCTAGCTGTCTCTATTCATCTCCTATCTCTCTCACTCGTTGACAGTCTCTCTTCCTCTCTGTCTGTGTCTCTCTTTACCTTTCTCTCCATCTCCTCCTCACACATTTTGTCACACAATCGAAGTATATATATATATATATATATATATATATATATATATATATATATATATCTATATATATATATATATATATATATATATATATATATATATATATATATATATATATATATATATATATATATATATTATTTCACATACGAGTGTGTGGGAAGGTACTAAAGGATTAGTTAAGTCTGAGGATCGAGTGAGACAAAGATAAGGGAAACTACTGAAAGAGAAGGTGAGAAGGAAGAGAAAGAGAACAGGAGGAGAAACTAGGAGTTCTTGCGCAAGCACAGGTAACCCAGAACCTCTGGAGGAACAGTATAGCCACTAGTACAGCCACTAGTACACCCACTAGTACAGCTTATCAACTAGCAACACTTATTTACTGCCATTGGGACGTCTACAGATTTCATGGGTAAATATGAGGATGAGATTTAAATAAGATAAAAATCCCAAGAGGTAAAGGGGAAAGAAAAGAAAAAGGCTAAGATGGCGGAGGAAGGGAAGAGGCAAGGGATGCTAAGATGAAAGAAAGTGATGGAGAGAGAGAGAGAGAGAGAGAGAGAGAGAGAGAGAGAGAGAGAGAGAGAGAGAGAGAGAGAGAAGGAAGGAAATACATTTGCACGTAGAAATATATCCAAGTAGACTACACCATTACAAGCTATAAAAAATGTCTCGCGACATATGTAATGAGACACATGTCATCGAGAGAGAGAGAGAGAGAGAGAGAGAGAGAGAGAGAGAGTGGAGAGAGAGAGAGAGAGAGAGAGAGAGAGAGAGAGAGAGAAAGAGAAACAGACATAATGGGAAAGAGAACTAGAGAGTAAGTGGACAAAAATGTTTGCTGAGGCATTATTATCCAACAATCTCCCATTCCTCTGTCTGTCTGTCTCTCTCTCTCTCTCTCTCTCTCTCTCTCTCTCTCTCTCTCTCTCTCTCTCTCTCTCTCTCTCTCTATCTATCTATCTATCTATCTATCTGTCTATCTATCTATCTCTCTCTCTCTCTCTCTCTCTCTCTCTCTCTCTCTCTCTCTCTCTCTCTCTCTCTCTCTCTCTCTCTCTCTCTCTCTCTCTCTCTCTCTCTCTCCCTCAAACACACTTTTAGCCATACTCACCCGAGCAGAAACAGTCCCTAGACAGGGAAAGTAGCATTAAGACGCAGCAGAATGCGACGTCAGTTCCGGAGGCCATGGTGGGGTAATCTCCCTGGGATTCCTGCCTTCCAGGAATATTTAATCACCTCCAAAAAACAAAAAAAAAAAGTTCAATTTTCCTTTAATTCCTTGCCATGACGTCAGAGCATCTAGGGATTTTGCTTGGGGTATTGAACTTGGGAGATTGTCTGGATCCTTGATGTTCTATTTGCTCAGATTTTTGCTTTGGGAGGGTATTCTAGCTCTCATTAACTGGGATTTGTTTACTTTTCACTGGGATATGTTTATGTTTCACTGGGATATGTTTACGTTTCACTGGGATATTTCACTGGGATATGTTTGTTTCACTGGGATATGTTTGTTTCACTGGGGCATGTTTCTTTCACTTGGGCATGTTTCTTTCACTGGGATTTGTTTACCGTTTTACTGGGATATGTTTACGTTTCACTGGGATATATTTACCGTTTCACTGGGATATGTTTACCGTTTCATTGGGATATGTTTACGTTTCACTGGGATATGTTTACGTTTCACTGGGATATGTTTACGTTTCACTGGGATATGTTTACGTTTCACTGGGATATTTCACTGGGATATGTTTGTTTCACTGGGATATGTTTGTTTCACTGGGGTATGTTTGTTTCACTGGGATATGTTTGTTTCACTGGGATATGTTTGTTTCACTGGGATATGTTTGTTTCACTGGGGTATGTTTCTTTCACTGGGACATGTTTCTTTAACTGGGATACGCTTATTTATTCCTGGGACATGTCTATTTATTTCTGGGATATATCTTTCACTGGGATATGTTTATATTTCAATGGGATATTTTTACGTTTCACTGGGATATACTTGTCTCTCGCTGGGATGTGTTCTATTGTTCATTGGGATATATTTACTTATTCACAAGAGTGTATCTGTTATTTTTCAGTTGGGATATATTTGATATCCCGTACTGGAAAAGTTTGTTTACGATCACTGGGATATATTTGCTTCCCATCCCTGGGACGTTTTGCCAATCGTTTCCTGGGATTTGGTTAGAGATCACCGGCATTTGTTTGTAATGCCTCATTTGGGATTTAGTTCCTTTGTTAGAAATTTGCTGTAATCCCTCCCTGGTATTTAGCTGGGATTTTCTTCCTCTCGTTCCTCGTGATAAAGAAATACTGAGAGAATCTGCTTTAGCTTTTGTTGATAGCTTATTTATTCATGTATAAACGTGATGTTCTAGCTTTTACGCCGGTTATTCTGGATATATTTAGCTGGGTCATTATTGTACAGGAACACTGGACTGGAACACATAGCTTGGGCCACGTATAATAGTAATAATAATAATATTAGTGCTAATTATTATGCTAGATATGCTGCTAATTAGGCCAGCTATGTTGCCGATTAGGCCAGATATGCGGTAATTTTGTCAGATTAGCTGCGATTCAGCTTGGAATGATATTAATTCATAACGTCTCTCTGTGAACTAATTGTTCACCCACGTTTATATGTTATGTGACCACATTGAGGTGGAACATAAGGAGGTCATTGCTATATATTGAAGTTCCTGCTGTTCACTGTTGGGATATTTAGATTTTTCCTGATATATTAAAAACTGAAAGGTAGTATATATATTCTATGAAAAGTAGTATATGTAATTTTTTTTATCTTACTGGTAAATTTCTTGATATCAAAATTAATATTTTGCAATTAGATACTAAGCTAATGTCACAATATTTTATATAGTTGTTACTAGTTTTCATGAAGTAGTAATTGAATTTATTCAACTTGTTATCAGTTCAACGTATTTTAGAAGTTTTTATTATCTTTTGTTCATCTGATTCCGTTTTAAGGTTTAGCTAATTAAGCTCCTTATTTGCCCTCATATAGTACAGGGTCGTCCGCTTGTAACATTGAACAACAATGAAATATTGTATGTGTTACTTGCAGAGTTCAAAACGTTCCTGATATCATGATGTTAGGTCTATTGTGGAAATTAGCACTCACATCAGCTCATTGGAGGCGAACATTATACTCAAGACGAAGAGATAACTTGGTCGAGGACAACCTTTGAGTGTTAAGTTGTGTTGCCAAGTGCCACTTACGTCTGAGGAATACATCGTCTTATATCACTTCCTTGGTTGGCAAGGTGGTAGTAGTAGAAGCAGTAGAAGAAGCAGGAGTAGTAGAAGTAGCAGCAGTACTAACGACAGTATTGGTAGTACTAGGAATACTATTAGTATAGTTCGAGTACTAGAACTAGTATTTATTGGAGCTGTATCGGTAGTAGTAATAGCAGAATGGATAATTATAGCAGTGTTCCATGTTAGGGTACATTGCTGCTGGAACTCTTCGCCAGAGGGATTTTACATCTTAATCTGTGATGTTTCATCCTTGTCAAGTTACCATCTAACCTTCCTCCAATTCCCTTAACGTCTCGTGTCCGACGTTTCGCCTTCTTCCACGTTTTTGTGTCCCTAGAAGTCTTCCTAAATTATATCTCCGTTTTCACACGATATATTTTTCTTATGACTAAGTCTTGTCCGAATCGTCTTGCGTGATCCATAAGAAGATTTCAATCCATGTCTTTTCTTTAATAATTTCTTGTTGGTGGATTTAATTTTCGGGATCTTAACCTTGTATATCTGCCGAAGGTAGATTTGGGGGGTGGATAGTATGGATTTATCTTATCCTTCTTGGTCCTGTGATGCTTGGATTATAAGCAAGCAACTCCTCGTCTGGGTTCTCAATAGTATCAGCCCACACTGCAAAAGACAAATATGTTATATAAATAGATGGATAGAGATGGTTTTTGTGTCAATTCTAATAGATATCCCCAACGGGTCAATGTGTTTGTTGGTGTGAGAATGTGTGTGTGTGTGTGTGTGTGTGTGTGTGTGTGTGTGTGTGTGTGTGTGTGTGTGTGTGTGTGTGTGTGTGTGTGTGTGTGTGTGTGTGAATGTAAGAGTGCGCGTGTGTGTATATTTATATGAAAACAGCAGGATAAAATATATGAATGACTTATTTCCCTATATAAATAATTTATATATATAATCAATTAGTGTGGGTGGGTATAAATAAGAAGTGCTACGTTCTGCACTTTTCTGTTTGTGTACTACAAACACTTATTACTTAAAAATCCCATGAGTACTATCCCGGTCCCACGCCATCCCACTTCTTGACCCAAACCTACTCTATATGTCAAATCTTATATGGTCCGTTCCACAGCACAATGCTTCAAGCAATCGATTCAGGGCTCATGATATGATAAATTTATAAAATAATATATGAATAGAAAATTTTCTTTGCCGTTATTCGTTCTTTCTCTCTCTCTCTCTCTCTCTCTCTCTCTCTCTCTCTCTCTCTCTCTCTCATACACACTGGCTTCAAGTCTCTCGTTAATTTCTGGTTCTGAGTAAAACTCAACACAATTATTACTTGTATTTTTTTTCACTGAATTTGTAAATATTAAAATAATTCAAAACAATAACGCAATGAGTGAAATGTAATGGTCAATGGCATTCAGTTTCTGTTAAATGATTTGGCTAATGACTTATTAAATAATTTAACATGAATTATTAATTAATAACAACTTAATTCAGAATATAAAAAATTTATATTCTGTAAAATTAATGCCAGGTTGCGTTAGGAAAAGCCATAATGAAAGAAAAAAAAGTGTTTTCTTTCACCGAAAATTAACACACTGTAAAAAGAAAGAAGCAAGAACAATCTTTATTTTCTCTCTTCAGATCTTCTTTCATTTCAGCGCTAAAGATTCTACTTTTTTGCTATTTTTTTCCTCCCTGGCAGAATTTTCTTCTCTCCCGGCACGTTGCGTTTGTTAATCTGGTAAATGGAGTCAGTTTCGGCTCTTCTCAGCATTTCTCCTTCCGGTCTTAGACGGGGAAAATTGTCGAAAGAGGAAATGGTTTGGCATAGCCTTTTTTTTTTTTAATCGTTCGGGTTGCAACGTCGTTTGTACTGATATATGGTGTGTGTGTGTGTGTGTGTGCGCGTTTGATCAAACGTTTCGACGTTGAATCAACGTCGAAAACGATCCTTAAAAAAAAGATTACTTTGTGTCAACGTCTATAACGTTGACTGAAGGTTTATCAAGCATCTTTTGCCCAGAGAGAACAGAAGAAAGGAAGAGGGAAGGGGAGGGAGGGAGGGAGGGAAAGAGAATGGGAGGGGAGAGAGAGACCGACAGACACTTCGTCCCCGCAAGATAGCCCATCACATTAATCAATACATTAATAAACTTAAGTGCTAAACTAAGTGCAAGTTTCTCAATAAACAGCAATACGATAAGCTATATCATATTGCTATATCATATAAGCTCCAATATACACCTATACTCCCCCACTCTCCCCATCACCCAATACTATGTAATCCCTTTATCTACCTTATATTTTGAACTTTTCCAAAATCCACTCAATTGAACACCATCACTACCCATTCTTTTGAACATCCCTGCCGCTCCAATCCTTAAAACTACCCAACCATATCCCTCACAAGTCGAGACGGTCTCGCTTCATGCAGATCGGCGTTCAATCCCCGACCGTCCAAGTGGTTGGGCACCATTCCTTTCCCCCGTCCAATCCTTAAATCTTTATCCTGATCCCTTCCCAGTGCTAAATAGTCGTAATGGCTTGGCACTTTCCCCCCTTCTAATTCCATCCTTCCTTCTCTAATTTCAATCAATTTCCGCCTATTTCTCTCCCCTTCTTACCAGTCCAATGATATCTCATCCCTACTCTAAAAATCATTTTTTTTGTAGATGAAACTGGGTGAATGGTTACAGACGCACAGTCAGATAGCATTTGAAGACATTTTAATTCAATTTGTTTCAGTTTATTATAAGATTAATGAATATATACATATAGGCCTCTATTCCTTCATTTAAAGTTCCGAGTTATCGTTAAAGATAACTCGAAAGATTTGTTATAGGTTGTTATTTCTTTCATTGCCCTTTTTACTTCAATAAAGCTCTAAATGTATACCCAAACGCAAGTATAATGGATTATACAACTCATGCGGAGAATACAATGCTAAGTGCAGATATAATCGAATTGATACGTCATTGTAGCTGAGTTTGTGTTGTACAGTGATCAACAGAGAGTTATAATACCCAGAACATCTTATTAACACTAATTAATTCCATTTATAGTTGCTTTGACCTCACAGGAACCTCCCCTTAGGCAACAGGTTCGGAGGAAACCGATAATTCTATATTGGTTATGCAAATGGCTGTAGTATAAGTTATTGTGGATAATTCATTGGGAGTGTTTGAAATCGACAATGGGAGATTAGTCATAGTCAAAGTACGCAGCATCAAGTACTCATATCCAATTATAAAGTCCACCTACACTTAAGCGCTGCCACTTGTTAGACCAAAGACATAATGACTAATTTGCATCACCCTTACTATTTCAAACAACCAATCAGAATGCTTTAGCAGAAGGCCTGGTCAGAGACCGGGTCACGGGGAAGTTGATCCCTGGAATCACCACAAGGTAGCCATAAGGTAGATAGTCCCCTCGCCAGGGTAACTGCCTAATCTCTTTATTTTTTTGCACTTTTATGTATTACATGCTATTGTTCATGCCTGTTTGTATTCACTTTCCTTCTGCCTCCGAAGATGCTAAGGAGTACTTCAGCGAAACGTGTCTTTTAGCGTCAAGCATCACGTCCATTAGAAGTATAAAATGAGCGTTGGGTAGTTAATTTTTCATCATCCTTCCAAAGTGAAGAAAAACTTAGACAAAATAGTCAAAATTCGACTTAGAAACCATTTTTTTCTCCGGTCATATTGAGAAACACGCAAATATCTGTAAGAACAACTGCTTCCAAACAGCAGTAACAGCAATAAACTAACAGTAGCATCAGCAACAACGACAGCAACAATAGCATCAAACTCAGCCACAGCCACAGCAGCAGCAGCAGCAGCAGCAGCAGCAGCAGCAGCAGCAAATGCATGTGTGGGTGTGGGGGGCGGGGGTCGTTTAATAACTGATTTAATGTGATAATTTCAAAATACAAATTCTCGACATTACAAAATAATGTTGTATATTCGAGGTGTATTTTATTCAGAACAGCGATAGTTATTTTTAATAATGCAACTCTTTTATTTATTGAGGAATAAGGTCTGATAGGGCGAAGGAGGGGAGGGGGGGGGGTAAGATAGGGGGGGTAGCAGGTTCTGTTATTATTATTAAAACGAAATAACATTCAAAAGGAAAACAAAATATTGTTTTTTCTCCAAGGAATGACATGATCTAGCGTCCGCAAACTATTAAAAAATGTTGCGAGATATTCATTAAGGAACATGTTAAATCATGCCATTTTACCTTCCAATATTTAAAAAGTTATATCATACCCAAGGGTATATGCTCCTCACTCAAACTCAAATATATTTGTCTATAATAGAGAATGTTTGTGTGTCCGAGATTGGAGGGCAAATGCTTGGGGCTAGCCTCACATAACTTTGCAAGACGACACATAGTGGGTATGGGAATGTCACAGGCCAGTCGGGGTTGGCCTCAGTGCACTTTAAGAAATATCGGCCAATAAAGTGATCCCTCGCTAAGATTTTCAAGATCAAGTCGGAAATAAAAGCTGTATTTTCCGTAGACTTATTTCGCAGTTTCAATGCTCATGAGCATTGCGTTTACTCCGTTGACTCAGTTCAATCGTTAGCAGGACAAACTACTTCAGCATTTACGTTTTATAGAAATAATATTTACATGCAGGCTATCAGTGTCAGGTTAAATGAGTGGCTGAAATCAATACAACCAAAACTATCTGTACTGCAACTAGTTATCACTACACTAAAAAAAAAAAATTATGTAAGTGAGGAATAATTTTCTGTTATTAAAAGTCTGGTCTTAAAGCACTTGAAAACTTTTCCTGCAAGATCCACAACAAGGGCCTCATAATAACAATGATAAATATCCTTACCACTGGACAAAATAAAAGGTTTACAGTGCCTTTAGAATGAAATTCATCTCACACAAATATACCCCAACATGATGAATCAGACATTGCAGACAAATTAACATGTAACATAGATGAAGTTGAATTACAGCTAGGTATCCCTATCTCTCTTGTTAAGATTATACTGTTCCAAAACATTCAGGTCCATTAGGAGATAACCTACTGACTCTCAAAGGCCTGAAAATACCTCAAAATACAAAGTTGTGATTTGTTTCGATTCGAAACGTATTTATACAGACAACACTAAACGTCCATAAGACTGTGCAACACAGTGGTGGCCAGGATCAGATTGGGTTACCTGTGGCAGGTGGCTACAAGTGACGGATCTCCCAATCCTGAGCACTACAGGTGCAAACTCTGTGAGTGGGAACTGGATAATAATCTTACACATTACATTATTTAACATGCTATCATCAGACGATTCAGTACCTCCAGGCATGAGGTACCTGGAGCACTGCCAGCACTTTATTACCTCTCGTGTTCTTGAAGATATCCTCATAATGCACCCAAAGTTTGCCAGTGCAGACTACTGATCACATGCCCCCTTATAACCATCCTGTGAGATGGAGAATTTAAAGTATCCGTAGCTAATGACTATAGAATTGAGGCAAAAATGCAAATGTGCCTTAAAATGTTAATAAATAATTAGTTATATTAAATTCTCTGAGAGAGAGAGAGAGAGAGAGAGAGAGAGAGAGAGAGGAGGTGAAAGAGAAGGGAAGGGATGGGGGAGGAGGAAGGGAGAGGGAATATGGGAAGAGGTGGGATA